AATAATAATAATAATTTCATTACTTATAATAACTAGCACATACGGGGCAAGACAATATTAGCGATAGAAACAGCATTAAGAGAAGGCAGCATGTAGATGACATTATACATAACAACAAATGCCAGACTTGAATTGAAAGCTCTTAATGTTTTTCCTAAAATGTTTCTGCCTTAGCGGTGTTTTGAGTCAGAAGATCCTTCGGAATTGTCGTAGGCGGGGGTGAAGGTGGCAAATTCACCTGTCTATTCAAGTGGCAAATAGACTCATTTTCTTCCTGAAAGCTTTTTGCGTTGCAAAATCGACAAATTAATGTCATTCTGGAAAGTCCGTGAGGTGGAAGCGGATTGTCTGCGCTCTCATCTAGAGCTGGGGGGCGCTGTTGTCGATTAGCCTGATCCTGTCTATGACTTTGATCAAGATTTAGATCTATATTTTCTTGCAACGGTAGATCTAGACCTACTTGCCGTTGGATCTGGCGAGATCGGCGTCTGACCCTATCTCGATATGGCATTTTCTTAATCTGTCTAGATCTAGATATACATCTAGACTTAGATCTAGCCTACCTGACCCAATCTCAAGATGGCATCTTCCCTCACTTCGCTCGGCTCTATAGTCCGGACAACACCAAATGGACAACTTTTCGACCTCATTACACCGAATCTAAGTGGCAAATCTCTCTGATTTTTTGGCATGCGACGCTGAATTCTAAAAAAATCTCGAGTTTCGTGCCTTTGCGAAAAAAATAAAGAGGTGCTGTCTATATAACCATTAGTAGGCTAATTAATTGCTCTTTCAACTCCACACCGCACACTTTTTATAGGAACCACGGTACTATGCTAAAACCATAAACAATCAGGCGCAGTTCGTCCATAGAGCAGGGTCGTGCAGTGCCATCCAAAATGTTTTAATGTTCTATGACGTAAAGCACCCACAATAATAAAATAAAAGACGCCAGAAACAAACACTAGCCATATAATATATCAAAACAAGGTCCTCGCTGGCGCTGTAACTGTCATTTCTATTCTATAGCGCCGTAAAACATCTACTATGCCATGCCTAAGTTCATGCGCTGTATCTAAACATAACAGGATAGTCTACAGTGGAAACCTGACTTATAAATCCCTCTTTGGGATAACCCAAGCGATGACGACACTTGTAGAGAGTTTGACGGTATATTAATATTAATAAGACGGCACATCTCAAATGT